TGACAGGCATGGCAGACTGGTTCACCATTATGGGGTGTTGTGATAAAGGGAAGAGGAAGTTCCATGGTCTTGCCACAAGAAGTACTCAGACAGGGGTTAAATCCTTGTCGAGCAAAAAAACATCAGGAAGCTACAGCTACTGGTCTTTTCTTTTTTTTTTTTCTTTAGAGAAACACCAGGTAGAACGGTAGAACGCMTCTTTTTTTTTTTTTTTTTTTTATAGAGAAACACCACTACCACCGGTGCTAGTGGTGCTGATAAGAGCAGACACCACTACCACCCGGGGAGAGGCTCCATCTATTGGTGGGGAGCATCACCTGCTGGAAAACAGGTCCAGCGTCCCATATACAGAATGTAATCAGAGAACATCAGAGAAACAATCCTGCCAGCATTGATTACCCTGGATTACAGGGGATTGACTGAGCAGGACGTTGGAAAAACTTGGGAGAACGATTTCTAGAACAACAACTGGAGAAAACCTGCCAATATTGACTGCTCTGGACTCCAGAACTGGTTGTGAAGGCTCTCTAACTGTAATCACCGAACCAGCTGTCCATAATCTGCAGACACCATGGGCCTGGAAACAGCAGCCCTCGTGTAGAAAAATGCCTGAGATGTGTAGGCGAGTAGCAGGAGTCCAGCTGATCCCCTTCTCCTTCTTCAACCCTTCGAATGGTCCCCTTGCGACCATGCAACCATGCAGTCATCTGTCGGGTGTAACCAGCTGTCATCCCTCCCTGCTATGTCAGATTGTTAATCTCCCATTCTTTCAAAGGAATACGTTGGAATACATCAGAAAATTTTGTAGGAGGATCTTGCCAGTATTGATTGCCCTGGAGCTTGGGGGATTGACTGAGCGGGGGGACCTCTTCACCCTGAATTCGGCGCCAGATTTCCACTGCTACGTACTGGCCCCTCCCTCCCTCCAATAGCCCTGGTCCCTTTCTTGACGATACACAACGAACACTAATGAAGAAAATGTAGCAGGTGTAACGCAGGTGGTCCCTATCTCATTCTGCAGCCTTTGACTGGTTCAGGGGTCCGGGAGGAGCCACTAGGGGGCACTAGTGGGACCTCCTCCCGTCACCCTGCCCTTCCCCTAAAACCTTGCTCCACTTCTAAACCCACCACCCGCTCTCTCTACGTCGTGTTTTTACAAGAACAGTGGGACCTCCTCCCAATGCCCTGCAGCATCCCCTGCCAAACCTTTCTTTCGAAGAATGCCACCTGCCCCTTCTGTGTCATGCTGCCGGAAGCCAGAGGGGGATGGAAAAGCAAGAAATGACAAAAGGCGGTCTTGACGCAGCAAAAGGCTGCAGTTGGGATGCGAGGAGAATGAGGGTTTGGATGGGCAGGGGTTTACAGGCGTATGTGACGCGCAACCTCACGCCCTGTGCTGTCTTCCGTTCGGAGTGCTAGATGTGCGGAAGGAGGCCCAGAAAAACAGCAAGATGGGGTGTGCCAAGGATTTTTGGAAATTGAGTGTGGGGACACAGACGGAACTGAAATCCCCCGTGTTGGTCCGATGAAGTGAGTCGGTTGCTTTCGCGCGTTGCGGAATGCGTGCGGGGGCATGACGCGAAAAGAGAAAAATCCAAATTCAATCCAAAAAGTATTGTCGAGCCTCCCACCGCGTTACGGCCCGTCGTTTAGAGCGAAAGGGCTTGGGCACGCTTCGCGTGTCCCGTTTTCGTATCAAGTCCCGTCGTCGTTCGCTGGTCAGTTCTGAGTCTGACGTGGATGGTCTCAGCCGCGTGGCTCTTTCTTTATGCTCGTCTTCACTCCGCACACGGTAGTGGAAACCCATGGGCCATGGATTCGTAGCGCTCAAAACGTTGACATTCGGTGCATAGAGTGCGCAGCCAGTGGGGTTCTACTGTCGTCCACGGGATGACAATCAACTCGTTGAATGGCAACAATATCGAGTAAGGTGGGAAGTGTGTATCGATAATGATAAACCCAGCCTCTACGAACCCTGAACAACGATTAAATTTTGTCGGAGGGAAGTAGTATCGTCCGCCGATTTGTGCAACGGCTTCTCGTACGTCCCACTCACATACACGTGTCCTCTCCTCGTTGTAGGGAAAAGGCCGTGTTGAGACGGGAGGTGCGGGACGCTGGTGCCCGATCGGAGGGTACTTGTTAGTCCACATATCAATCAATTGCAAAAACCTCGAGACGTCATCAAGAAAGGAAAACTCTCGCGCAACCCCCAATCAATCATTTTCTTCACGAGAGAGAGGGGGAAAACACTCATCAGCTTGATCATGCATGTAGCTAACGGACCGGCCCGCGGCTCGGGTTTAGTGAGCCAACGCGACGTTGATCCGAGGCGCCTTGT